CACACACACACACACACACACACACACACACACACACACACACACACACACACACACACACACACAAACACACCCCCCCGAAAAAAAGGAAAACGGCAGAGCGCACAGCGCGCACCCCTGCCCGGCAGCGCATTTTGACGTGCATCCCGCACAGGGCAACTGGTGCGCGCACCCGCGCACATGCGCATGCGGTGTGGGTGAGCACATCCCACACGGCGCACCGCACCGGTGCGCCGCAAGTATGTTTCAGAGCCTTGGGAGAAGTGGTAGGTAGGTAGGGAAAGGCAAGAAAGAAAACAGAGAGAAGAATATAGTGTAGTTGAAAACAAAAAAGAAAAAAAAAAAAAGCTTGTAGTACACAGCAACAACTAACTCCCGAGTCCAAACCGAGTTAATGTGGAAACAATGAGAGAAGGTGGAGTATGAGCAAAATACATAATGATATTACTCCAACGGGTACCGTAGTCCCAGCAGAACCGGTATTCAATCAAGAATGGAACTTAGAAGTGAAACCAGAAATTGGGTACCTCCCACACAGGTACCACAAGCCCAGCAGAACCAGTATTCTATTAACAATGGGACTTCGAACTTCGAAGTGAAACCAGACATTGGTACATCCCACAGCTACCAGAGTCCCACCAGAACCACTATTCAATCAACAACCTGAACTTAGAGCTGACCTCAGAAATTGGTACCTCCCACAGGGACCATAGTCCCAGCAGAACCAGTATTCAATCAAGAATGGAACTTAGAACTGAAACCAGAAATTGCTACCTCCAACAGGGACCAGAGTCCCAGAGTCCCAGCAGAGCCAGTATTCAATCAAGAATGGTACTTAGAACTGAAACCAGAAATTGGTACCTCCCACAGGTACCACAGTCCCAGCAGAGCAAGTATTCAACCAAGAATGGGACTTGGAACTGAAACAAGAAATTGGGACTCAAAACTTTAAAAGTAAACTAAAAGAAAAGCTCAGAATCAACTGAGCTAATCAACCGTGGTGCAGTACCTCACGGGCATCCCCTTTTCTTTCAAGAAAGTTGAAGAAAAATAATAATAATAATAATAATAATAATAATAATAATAATAATATATTAATAATATAATAATAATAATAATAATAAAACTATGAAAGTTGATGAAACTGATAACAGCATAAAATTTTAAATTTTTAAAATGAGTAAATTACTAAATTAACTTTAATTAAGTTTAATAATGATTAAATTTTACATCCTTTGCGAGGATCTATGCTTGCAGGGGTCCTCTCTCTCTCTCTCTCTCTCTCTCTCTCTCTCTCTCTCTCTCTCTCTCTCTCTTGTCTTAGGAGTAGTGGTAGGAAGGTAGTGAAAGGCAAAAAAAAGAATGTGAGAGAAGAACACAGTGTAGTTATAATAATTATATTTAAAAAAACCTATTCCCAACTAGCCAAGAAGAAAAGAAAAAAAAAACACAATAATAACAATATCCTAACTGAGTTCACTCGCAGGCTGGAGATCCCTCCCCCTCCCTCTTCTCCTCCCCCTTCTTCCCCCCCCTTTCTCCCCCTCTTTCTCCTCCCCTCCTTGTTCTCCCCCTTACTCTCCTGTAAATATGGATTCTCTATAAACTAATCGATTGTTCAGATATGCTGGCTATGCTAATGTTTACATCTGTGGGCGCAACACTAATCTTCTCCTTATTTCGCTAAGCAGTCACACCAACTATATATCACATCTCTCGTTTCAACACCCTGATTATTTTCTGCACGAGTCACACTGCTGCTTTCACAAGGGGCGTGGGGGGGCTAGGTGATCAGCAGTTGTTAGGCGCGCAGCAGGGCTGAAGAGGCCTCCCTCCCCTTAAATTCATTGTTTTTCTCTCACTATCCAATCAGTCAATCCCCAGGACTCCAGGGTAATCAATGCTGGCAGGTGGACGGTACTCTCAGACTCTCAGACTGAGTGTACAAAGGGACGCTGGACCCGTTTTCCAGCAGGTGTAGATCCCCTACCAGGAAGCCAGCTAGGAGGGGGTGCTCTTATCACCTCTCCGAGCGGAGATACTGGCAAAAAAAAAAAAAAAAAAAAAAAAAGTATTCGTCACCCGCCCGCCCGCCACGTGCCAACCACTTCAACCCAGCCAACACACTGATCTTGTGAACTGCAACTACTAGAAGTGGCATCAGTCAGCGCTCTTGTGCCGAGCACTACACAATACCACCACCCCCATGAGCCACCACGTGCTACTTTTGTCTTGTGCTTCCCTGCTCACAAAAGGGACGCAGTTATGCATCTTGCGATGAGAACGAGTGCACAGCCAGCTTCCCCCATTCATCGCGCCGTGCCCTTTTTTCCCATGTCATGCTGTACCATTGACACATTGCCCACTGCCAGTCTGTGCTCGATGGGACATATGATAAGCCATGTTATCACATACAAATTGTCAGTTTGTGATCACCTCACACAGAGGTTGTAAGACATATACCACAGCCAATAACGACACTCTACCCGTAAAGAGGAAGCCCTCTTTCCCATATGGTTTGCCGCACAAGGAGCCATCACAGCACGTGGGACCATGTGGGACCATAACCATGAGAAACCTTTGCGGTGACCAACTGAGTGAATGCGAAAGCAAAGACAACTATGCTCTATCATCATGGCAGCTGTACGAATCGCTGAGGACAAGGCCCATCGCAGCATGCGCTAAAGCACGAATAGCAACAACAACCCCTATCACAACACCTCCCAAAAATCACCGAGGAGAAGGCACATCGAGGGGATGCAAAAAGGTGTGCCCCGCGGGTGCTCTTGGGCCCCCCGCTGCACGATTTGTTCGCTTGATTGTGTCAATCTCCTGCACTACCTGACCCATGTCGGGCCTTTGAGATGAGAAGTCCTCTGTGCAACGCAGGGCGAGTTCCACAATAGTGTCAGCCATCGCCCATTCCTCAGGCATCAAGGAAACACTCAACGCATTTTCTACCAGGAGCTCTTTGCCACACCTCTGCCTGACCAACAAGTAGAGGGGTATAGAATCAGCTTCATTCATCTTCATAACTGCGCGCATTCCGGTGACAAGCTCCAGAAGCACAACCCCAAACGCAAAGACATCGCTCGACATCGTCAGTTTTGACTCGTAAATGTACTCCGGCGGCATGTAACCTGGGGTGCCGGACCTTGTCAACGTCGGCACAGTCGTTTGACCCGAAGAAGGGGTTCCGTCGGAATGACCATAGCTCCCTGGCCTTGCTAGCCCAAAGTCAGCCAAGTACGCGCGCAGCGCTTTCCCCTCCCCTTCAACAAGCACGTTGCGGCTTTTCACATCACGATGAAGAATCGGGTGGTCCGCCTCATGATGCAGGTAACGCAAGCAGGTTGCTATCTGTCTTGCGATCGACATTCTTTCTGTCCACGTCAACGGCAAATTACAGCTGCCGACCGAATCCATGGCCTTGCTTTCTTCCAACACCTTTCCTGCTGTTGTTTTGCACTCGTGCAGTCGATCGTACAGTGAACCCCCTGAGATGAATGGGTACACGAGGATGAACTTATTCCCTTCGGTGCAGAAACCAATCAGCTTGCACAGATGCCTGTGCCGCACACTGCTCAGTGTGTTTACCTCCGCGCGGAATTGCTTGTGCTTCATCTCGTTGAACTCGCCTTTCATGACCTTGATGGCCACATCCACCATTTTCTGGCCCACCATCAATGATGCTCTGTACACATCACCGTAAGCACCACTCTTCCCATGCAGGCAAGTGCCATTTTTTATGGCCGTTTGTATAACAGAGAGTGGGATATCCTGGACGACTGTTGGGAGAAGTGGATCGGAACTCGACGGAAGGCTCACAGAGATACTGGTCCTGGTCCCCGTCCTTGTAGAGGACTCTGTGATTTTCGTATCGGGCGGTGGAATGGCACTGCGTGGACTGTGTTTGAACCCGCGAATAGCATACATTGTGCATACGACTACGCCCAAGAATAAAATGGCACACCCCAGTGCCACACCCACAAAGATCATGACTCGTGACATATTCATACCGGTTGAACTCTTCCCAGAATCAGCAGGAGGCATGACTTGTGACATATTCGTACTGGCTGAGGTCTTCCCAGAATCAACAGGAGGTAGAGGAGCCAAGCTACACTGGTGCAAGGCAGGGACATTTATCTCCAGTTTCATGATTCGGCCGTCCCCCGTCCCAACGAACAGGTAACGATCATCTGTGGTGAGGGCCATAGCCATGAGCTTTCCGCTGGAACCATTAGACTCCACCAGCTCTGCCACTATCTTGATGCTTGATACGTTGCCGTCTGGGTCGTTAAGAGGCAGCCAGTGGAGTCTTCCACGGCCGGCGACAAACAAGTTGCAACCGTTCCCAGTCACAATACACTGACTTGATCTATTGAACCCCCCTTCCAGGCCAAACATGGTATCCATGCCTCCTGCAATTGTTTTGGTAGCCCTTGAGGTAATATTCACACGCCGCACCACATTATTCCAATAATCAAGAACATACAAATTTCTCCCGTCACGAGAAATAGATTGAGGTCCAATCAGTGGAGCGTTGAATCTAACCCCTGTTGACACGTCACTGTCCGCGTAGCCTGCCTTTGATACGTTGGTTTCCGGACCTGCGATAACATCTATGCTAACCCAGAACGATGGCACTGTCAACGATATTTTGTTGATGCGATCACCTGAGGATGCAAAGAAGGCATCCTGGGCTGGGTGCTTTGCAAGGCCTAAGGGCGCCTCCAGGGTCCACTTGTCCACGCTCTTCCCCGTTGAAACTTCCAACTTCTCGATCCGATCGTTGTGCTTTTGCGAAACCAGTAGATAACCACCATCAAGCACCAAAAGGCCTGACACATCTGAGTCTTTTGTAGGCTTTGTGGGGTCTTCATTAAGTACAGGCCAGCCCCCAGCCAAATGGGAAACATTGTACGATTGAAGCCCCTCCACCCATTCTGCCTTCCACACTGCTACTGTCCTGTTAGAGGAATCTGATGTGTTGGTCACTATTGCAGCATTTTCTGCATAGTAGACAGTTTTCATATCCAGAGAGAGATCAACGGCCGTGATGAGATACTCAGTGTCCGCAGACCTATCGGTTCTAGATGCAAGCACATCCCCAAGATCCCTGAGAAGGATTTGGTCAGTGATGTTCAGCACACCATACTCCGCATTCAGCTTCCGCTCTTCGCGTCTTCCCAAAGTTGATTGCTCCCTGCTATCTGGCTTGTATTTCGCATCCACCAATCTTCCAGTGATAAGGAGGATGATGAAAATACTTGCCATCCATGAATGTGAGCAGACAGATGTCGAAGCAGTCATTGTCTTCCTCCTCTCCTTGTTCATCTCTGGAGTAAGTTTGTGCTGCTGCTCGGTTTCCGAAAAAAGAGGCCCTTGCTCAAGCTGCATGAAAGAAGTGTCGCTGCTGACGGGAGCTGCGGTAGAAGTATCGGTCACTGTCTGTGCCAACAGACAAAGTCATACACCAAGCGAGAGATTTGCTAAGTGTCCGTCGGACTTTTCTTGAAGCCCATATCTGCAGTGAATGGAACACCAACTACTGCTGCTCTGTTCACATAGGGCTAACGACTGAGGATTCACAACAGATACCGTCTATGGACTTCTGATGCACAAACGAATGTCACTCCTCCTTTCACGCAAGCCTTCCAACCAGTATCAGAAATGAAGATTAATTGGAAAAGGACGGATGGATAGACAGCTGGGTGGTGGACGGCGAGGGATACTCCCTCGCCAACCATGATGCACGAGAACGAGGGTATGTGCAATGAATGGATGTTCAAGCGCCTTTAAGATTCTTAGGGGTTACGGTTAGGACACATGGCACCAGATATCCAATGGCTTCTTACAAGAGCAATTAATCAACTGAATGGGTGGAAGGTACGCCCATAACAGGTAGGTCTTTGTAGAAATTAACGTCTCCATTGCAGTGAGACTACCAGGCATCCGCACAATCACGCAAGTCTAGCACAAGCCAAATCACATACAAGCCGAACACATGCGAAATGGATCCCAAAATCGTGTCGGCCATTGCAACAAGTATCAAAATTTCCTTCTTCCTACAGGCGGCTATGGCCGCTCACACACAATGCAGGTAAGCCTCGCACATATATTCTCTCTTCCATACTAGTACGACTTACAGGTCGCTCTCCCGTTCCTGTCAGAATGCCTTCCACTCTCGCTCCTACCTCTCCTCCAGACTCTCAAGCTACTAGGGCGAAAGCCCCGTCGACCACCCTAGCACTATGCTCACTTCCACTCACTCAGTCGCCCCATCAACGCACAAGACTGCAGCAGCGCTTCCGCATTGAGCACGAAGCATAAAGTGTTGATGCCCACTCCCGCATTGATCGCTGCCAAACTCAAGTATCGGCTGCAGCTTCAATCCGTGGCTCTGATTTTCCAACCCACTTCCCTGTAGTCACGGTTGCTATCCGACATCAAAAAGTAACGGCCTTCTGCAATAAGCTGCAACTGACAACAGTTCAGACAGTCAGACTTCCGGGTACTGGCTACTGAACTGTACCGGCCTATGAACCTAAAAGTAACTGTCGACTTTCGTACGACCTGAATCTAAACTACAGGCTTCTTCGACATCACATGAAGGACCTACCAGATGGGACTATGGTACAATGGGAAACTGGGACTCTGGGACCAGACCGGTACTGCTGAGATTCGTGAATCCTTTCACTATATTATTCTCCATGTTTTGGTATGTGGCCACTGTGTGGAATCCCCCCTAAAGGTTCTACAAAGCAGATTAGGAGGAAAGCAGCAGCTTATTTCTGGACAGGGGAGGTCAGCAGAACACAGTTCATTTTCAAAGTGGGATGGAAATATATAGTTAACCCACCCCTCAAAGGAGGCTTGAGCATTATGGATCCAGCCGGACAATAGGAAGCACTGTAAGCGACGAACTGGTCTAGCTCAGTTGGTAGGCCCATGAACTGTCGAAACGCAGACCTGATTTCAACTCCAGTGAAAGCAGAAGTGTGAAGTACTACAATTCTGAATTACCAAAGGTCCGGTTAGTTCTATCATGGTATCTCAAGGCCGTTGCCCTTTTTAAAAAGGGGAAAAAGAAACACAAAGCACTGCAAGAACTAATTGGTTACCTAGACCGATTTTGGCTTGGCTACAAATTTGCAGCGCAGTGCCATTCAAAGCAGAAAGAAGCATTGAAGGCCCGTTATGGATGTTAAATCAGCACTGGTACTTTAGCGGGGAAAGACTGAGATATCCGCCGGGGCGCTAACAAGGAGGATAGACCATCCCTCCGTAAGCAATGGACCACACTTCCAAACATATGGAGGGACAAAAAGAAAAACAGAAAAAAAAGGAGGGACATCTTTCCAGAGAGAATCTCTCATCACAAACAACTAGTAATCAAGTGCTGCATCAACCGTATGTTCGTGCCACGCTTATAACAGATGGGAACAGAGAAAAAAATGAAAAAAGGATGGGAACGATAAGCCCTGGCAACTGACGGGGGAAAGGAGAAGATGGCGGGCATCGGTGGAAAAAGGGACTGGTGTGGCAGGTCAAGCACCGTTGTGGGACCGGAGTTCCAATACAACGCGAGTTCCAATACAAGGCGGTGAAGGCTTAGTCGTGAATATAACCCTTTGCAGTAACTTTGCCAAATTCTTAAACCACCACTACCTTTCAGAGGCGAAGGCTAAGTCGTGAATATACCTATACCACATTTGTTGGTGGCCAGGGGCCACTGGACCAAAATAGCTTGCAGCATCAGGTTGGACAGAGCTTGGCACAGTTCCACTCTGCCTTAGCAAAAGGTTTAAGGGATGTCATGATAATCTAGACGCCATCCTCGAAGAAATGTCAGTTTTGTTTTTTTCCAGTTTGTATTTGCAAGCATCTGAGCCCTCGGCATGCCAATATGAGGCCCTAACTGCAAGCCAGTGCCTGCCCTAAGTGAAGGCGGGCACAGGCCTGAATACTGTAATTTTCCAAGCCCTGGTGGGCGCCAGACAATTGCCATGCGCCAGTTGGTTACATATGCCATGATCACGAGCATCACAATCTTTCGTGAGCCTTCCAGGCTCTTCCAGACTTGACGTGAAAACTGGCCTCTCGGCCTATCAGAAAGCAGGGAACACCTCAGTGTGCACGAGGTGGCTGGGCGAGCCTAATTGATGGGGCTCGGGACGCTGTCTGAAAGGGCCTGGGCGCAGACACTTCGGCCCAACGTGAAGCTAGAGGGCACACGCGCGTCCCAGGCCAGGCAGCAATGAGTCTGCCTGCTTTCCGTATAGGAAAGAGGCAGGCCAGGCAAGAGACATTCATGCACTTGGTGCATATGCGGCAGACTGCCCCTTTGGGCGCTGGTAGGCTGCTGGCTGGGGGTGTGCGGACCATGCGGGCCCAGGTTGAAGTGAGGGCATTGCATGGGAGCAGCGCCATAGCCCAGCCTTCATAGCCAGGCTTGGGCTTGGGAGTGTCAGCGGGGTATGGTGGTGGTCCTTGGTTGGAGACGGAACATGGGGGAGAAGACGAGGGTGAGCATTGAGAGGGCGAGTGGGGAGTGGATGTGAGAGCATGTACCTGGTTGTCGTGGAGGTCTGCATGAGCGGCATCTGCATGTACTTTGGTTGCTGCTGCTGATGTCGACTGGTTGCTTTGTCATTTTGATAGGCTAGCGTAGTAGCTGTATGATCGTAGTTCGGGCGCTGAGCGCCAGTAGGAGGAAGAGCTTCGAGTACATTGTTGATGGCGGTGAGAGAGAGCTTTCATTGACAATTGAGTTCGCTGCTGTGGTTCTCCTTCCGACCTTTGGTGTAATATCAGTGCATTTCTGCTTTCTGGACAGCTTACGACTATCTGGCTTTCAATGTGATTTTGCAATTTGAAATTGTCATTTCGGATTATTTCGCTATTGCTCATTTTCCTTGCACTTTGGTAGCAGAGCTGGTTCGAGCTGCTCCGCTGACTCCAGCGCATTGGTTTATTGGTGCTGTGGCGTGACAATGCACGGCAGTGATTCCATGGTGCTGGTTTGAGTAGGCGGCCCTGAGTCGAGAGGGGACCCCGGGAGGGCTATGTGGTGGCATTGGCTGTACGCTGGACGATGAGAGCTTGTTGACGTGGCATTTAAGCCGGCGTGGAACTGCATTCCATTGTGTGTTGTGTTGAGGCAACGACCAGTCCTCATAATTGCACGTCAGGTCGACTGGTGAGAAATCTGTGGCTGGGGGCAGCAGTATGAGGTACGTTTCCCCTTGCCCTATCTTCCCTCCGCATTGCTTCTTACCGTGAGGAAGTGAGTTCTGACTTGAGAGTCCTCTCATCGTGAGGTGTCCTGTGTGCTCAACCATGAGATTCGACATTCTTGTTGGGGAGCATGCTGGTGGGAGAGGGCGTTCCCATCTGAAGGGCCGTAGACGAAGCACTTGGGTCAAGGTCACCATGCCAACCCACTGGGAGGAGAGCATGCATGCTTTGCTGCTTAGTCCTTTGTTTCACCTTGTTGCGCATTAGAGGTTGTGTTGAGAAGGCCAGCCCTACGGGAGATTGACGAGCACCGGACCATCAATAAAGAAACTCGAGCAGGGATTAAAAATAGTACAGACAGAGCTAGCCAGTCTTGCATTGACCTGGGGCACAGGGGTGGGCCGTTTGCACACCTTTAGGCACAGAACTCCATCCAGATCTTACAGGATGTCGATGATCAGAGACATCAAGAAGGATTACAGGGAAGGTTGATTCAAGTTGCCTGTTGGATTGTCAATTTTTGAATTATTTCCATTCACCATACATTCCAGCAAATGATTTTATTATAATATTTGACAAGTTAAATGTGACGGACTGCTCACATCTGACAGACTACTGTAGGTAGATTTCTTTTCTTTGCTGCATTGCACTCTGTTTGAGACTAGTCATAAATAGGAGGATAGTTCTTTTTTTTTTATATCTTTTAAAGGGCAACGGCCTTGAGATATTATCATTGAGCTGACTGGCCCCAGGCAAATCAGAAATTCTTTGGTTTTACTCATCAAGTTCCATCATCCAGATTCGAACTCGGATCTGTGATTCAACAGTTGATGGGTGTACCCACTTTTTGTACGGGTCTGGACTAATCTACAAATACCACTTCACTTGTTCCTGTTCAAATCTGGACAGAATAATTATTAATTTATTTTATTTTATTTATTTCTAGCGTCGGTTGGATGCTGCACTGTGGTAGGTCCCAGCGAGGCTGCTAGTGCAGATTGCATGCCACGTGTACCTCATCAGTGAAGATAACAGTGAGGTTGAGAGACTAGACCAGGGGAGTAGGAGGACTACCCGGAGACAGGAACTTAGTCAGCCGATCACTTACTTGATGTTAGAGCCCGGTGAGGAAAGAAAACTGCAGAGAGAAGCTGAGGAGAGGAGGTGTTTGCAGAGGGCACAGGAAGCAGCAGCTGAGGCAGAGAGGGCACTAGCAGAAGCAGTAGTTGCACACACAAGGGCCAAGGCAACGGGAGCTATGGCTACCGTCTCGACTACTTCGCAGGTCAGTTCTCAGGACTCTTCTTCGGGTGTAAGTCTGTGCACGCCAGTTCTTAGCTCCAGTCAGTTCGCTGGCTCGCAGGTCAGCCAGCAGCGACCCTTGTCAGTGGAGGATTATGAGATCCAGCAGACAGATGATGCCCTTCACGCAGAGTTACAGCGCCGGTTACAGCATGTAGAGGATAGAAGAGAGAGCTGTTATGACCCTGGCCAATTTCGAGATACACATCCATATTAAATTACAATGCCATCCAATTGCAGAAAGAAATGAATGAACTTGAGAGGAGAGAGAGCAGTAGAAGAAGAAGAACAAGAAGTAAGAAAGAAGAAGAAGATGATGTACACCAGCAAAAACAGATGATAAGGTTCTTCTTCTTCTAATCCTCTCTCTCCTCTCAAGTTCATTCATTTCTTTCCGCAATTGGATGGCACTGTACTTTCCGATGGATGTGTATCTCGAAATTGGCCAGGGTCATAACATTGGTATCGGAGCGGATTCTACTTGCTGGTGAGAGTTGACTTTGCTGCCCTAACCGTAACCTAAGTGGATGAGGGCACCGCTTAGGGTTAGGGTTGGTTGGTGAAGGGAAGTGGGGCAGCATGGTTGAGGGAAGCTGCCCCCACCTGGTTAGGTCATGTGGGGTCGACATAGAACCTAACCAGGTTGCTTGAGAGTGAGATTAGGGCGGCGAGACATTTCGAGGAGACTTCATGCGGCGATTTGAGAGCGGCGACAGTGAGAGGCACTCGCACCTGGAATCTGATTCAAGGGAGACACTTGGCAACTTAAGGGCTGCCCTCAAGTAGGCGAGCTTGAGGGTCAACGGCCACTCAGCATCTACGGACTGCAAGCTGCTACTT